CTCTGCTTTTATTTTAAAAATTAGATTAAAAAAAAATGACAGATTCATAGGATTTTGGAACGAAAGGAACGAAACAGTTGATTCTAACTTCTTTGTTTTACAAAGGAGGGAAACGATCAAACTGGAGAAATAAAAAGAAATGACCAAAGTTATATTTAATTGGTAGCAAAAATCAAGATTAACTAACATCCAGTCCTTCCAACTCCCAATGCAGTGTATTTTTTCTGCCATACTACATTTTGTGATTTTTCTTATTTTGGACAAACTGACTTGATAAAATGAGGCAGGCAAGCAAGTATTACAATTTAATCTTACTGCTGTAATATTATACATTTACCAAAGCAGCAGTGAGATGTAATGAGAAAACAATTAATGAACAGGGATTCAAAGTATCCAAATTGGAACTTATCATTTCCTACGTGAATCTTAACATTCCCAGGCCCTGATGAAACTGTAAATAGTATCTGTGATGTCAGTTAATGTTTTCACAATAGATAATGCTAGACTTTTTAATGAACCCAAATAAGAAAGAAATTTTCCCCCAATATCATCTTATGATGAAGTTACTAAGAAAACAATGAAATGGAGAGGCTTTACTGAAAAAAAATCTAAACTTAAGATTCAAGGGCTACCTTATTTATACATGTCTGTCACTAATCTCACCAAGTGTTAAGATAACACACATAGGGGCACCTGGGTGGCTCAGTTGGTTAAGCATCCAACTCTTAATTCTAGCTCAGATCATGATCTCAGGGTTGTGAGATTGGGCCCCGAGTGAAGCTCCACATGCTCCTGCTTAAGATTCTCTCTCTCTCTCTGCCCCTACATCCCCTAAAATTTTTTTAAAAAGGTAACACACTATTATAGTACTTCAAATGAAGAACAACTTCATTCTTGATAGCAAAGACAAAATAAAATATACTGGATGAAGAATTTTAGGGAAGTTCTTGCCCACACATTTTATGGGCTTTTATGCTATGTTATGCTAAAAACAGAGCAGAATGACAGTGAAGTTAAAAAAAAAAAAAAAAGCAGGTTGGAATCTTGGCTCCCCCACTTACTAGCTGTGCACTTGAGCACTTCTTAAGCCCTAGCTTTCCTCAACTGTAAAACAGAATTGTGAGAATTAGAAGTAACTAAGGTAAAACATCTAGCTCAGTGCCTGGCATGCAGGATTTAATAACAATTATTAAGTTTGAAAGGAAATTATCAAAATTTGCCACAAAACAATGTATACTGTAAGAAATGTAATAAAAAGTATTTAGATGAAGAATTTCAACTGAGAGACACATTAATCAGCACTCATTATATTAGCTTATAAGGGTTATTTTTGTGGAAAGTTAATGCCAAAGTGATACAGCAAGGAACAATAATTTTCACCATCTCTGTATCTCTTTAACTCTTAACTCTTTAACTCTTCTACCCAACTATTATCTACTTTGGCTATTCTACAGGATGCTACATATCTGGCTAACAAGTACTCTACTCCCTTTATTTTAACTTTAAATTTTTTTCTACAGCTCCAGACCTGAGCATGAGATTTAAAGTATATGGCCTGCAGTTACAACATCCAAAAGCATAATGCACATAATATTCCTTATAATGAATCAACTATAAAAAGATAAAGTTTAGTTACCTTCCACCCAGAAAAAAAATGTGACCAAGAAAAAGAAAACAATTATTTCACTTTCTGTATTAACCATAATTTGACATGACTTATTATTTGCTACAAAAATTTCTTCCCCTCCCAAAAATTCTCAGGGATCGGCTGTCTACTTACAATCATAAAATTATAAGTCCTTTAAAAACCATTCTGTAATTTTGAGAATTAAAAAAATAACTTGATGTAAATATTTTTGACATGAAAAGACTACTTTGTCTACATGTTTTATCCATTGAAACTAAATATTTAAAATGTTTTTAATGAATTAGCAGTAAGTTTACTACTTCATAAGAGCCCTAACAGTTTATTGTTTTACTACTTGTAAATTAGGTCAGTAAAGAGGTAAATGGAAAAAAAAAGAAGAGATAAATGACTTTAAGAAATACTCAGATAAGGGCGCCTGGGTGGCTCAGTTGGTTAGGCGACTGCCTTCGGCTCAGGTCATGATCCTGGAGTCCTGGGATCGAATCCCACATCGGGCTTCCTGCTTGGTGGGGAGTCTGCTTCTCCCTCTGACCCTCTTCCCTCTCGTGCTTTCTATCTCTCATTCTCTCTCTCTAATAAATAAATAAAAATCTTTAAAAAAAAAAAGAAATACTCAGATAATTAAACTCATTAACATGTATCATTTCCAAACTTTCTCATTTGCGTTCTGCCATGGAACCCCCTTCTTATCATAAAAGACTAAAATATTTATAAACCAAAAGCTAATCATGAATACTGTAGAAGGAGAATTTTTTAATCCCCTTATTCTTTATCAGACACCTTTAGAAAGCTTCAACTGGTTTAGTTCAAGGTAAATAAATATACTTAACAATGCAATAAACTTTATTATGATAGTACCACTACTACAGGTAAACTACAAATTAAAATATAAGATAATTACAAAAACAGGATGCAGCAATGCAATTTTACAACACATACTACAAAAGAACTCCTTCCAAAGTATCTCAATCTACAAGAAAATAGCAAAATGATAAAGAGCAGACTTCAACGGCAGAAGGCTATCCCCCACTCAGATCTTAAGTATTTGGGTTTCTCTTTCAAGATTCCTGTTAACTGCTAAAAGTCCACTCAGTAATTTTGATGACAGTCTGGACTTTACAGCACAGTAGTACTAAATATGAAACCATCCTAAATTAAGCTTATTGGATCTCTCTACTTTAAGGCAACCTAAAGTTCTGTTAAACACCAAATCATACCTACTATAATATTTTCTTCCTATGATTAAGTTAAATATGAAAACTCTGAAGAGACCAATTTCTCAATTTTCTCCATTCCTCACCTCCAACAGTAATTACCGTAGAGCTCTGAATTTAAACTTCTCCCCAACACTTGCTACCTAGATCTTTGTGGATAAATTAAAGTATTTTTCCCATAAGCATAAAAAGAAACCAAGAGGGCGCCTGCGTGGCTCAGTTGGTTAAGCGACTGCCTTCGGCTCAGGTCATGATCCTGGAGTCCCGGGATCGAGTCCCGCATGGGGCTCCCTGCTCCGCAAGAAGTCTGCTTCTCCCTCTGACCCTCTTCCCTCTCGTGCTCTCTATCTCTCATTCTCTCTCTCTCAAATAAATAAATAAAATCTTAAAAAAAATAGACTAAACTGAAGAAAGACCCTTAGGTAACAATTTCACCCTGGGCACCTAGTGGGCAAGCTTCCTGAAACTTTTGTCTCACCGTCTTAGCCCCTCAGTAAACCTTGGGGTATATTACCACACTACTGCAATTCATCCGTAGTTAGAACACTTCACTTCCCAAAGGAATCACTTCCTTAACACGGTGACTACTCACTGAAGACGCTTGCAGGTGTTTTCCTGTTTTCTCATCCATTCCTCAATTCCATTAGCTATAAACCTTTCTCGCCAGAGGAGAAAAAGTTCTTAAAGAGTGGATTTTCTGAAGTCTCGACCGTACACATCTAAGAGTTCCCAGAAACAATGAACTACAAAAGTACAGACCAAACGGGAAAGAAGAGGAAGTATCAGAACAATACCCAAACCAAAGAGCACCGAAAACTCGTGGTCGTCTCTATCATCCCAGTCTACCACCTCCACTTCCCTAGTTTAACCGAGGTCTCTCAAACACGGAGAAATGGCCCCCTGGCCCATAATGTCCCAGGTGGCAGAAAGAAAAGAAGCCAGCTCCGGTTGATCGGAGCTGTGATGCTTTTTCTGCCGGGTGGAGGGAGAGAAGCCAAGGATTGTGTAAAGGATGGAAAGCTGAGTGATACTGGGGGGAGGGGGGAATTAGGGCGCCAGAGCTAATCCCTTGCCCGGGCCCGCTGGTGGAACAGGCTGGAGGCGACCAGCCCGGAGGACTAGGGAAGCTGGGCTGCACCGGGCTTTTCGGGTCGCGAGAAAGGGGAAAGAAGTCTGGCAGCCCCAGCGATCGGCGGGTGACGGCGCCAGGCAAGGGAGGAGGCTCCATGCCGAGCGAAATTTTTGGGGCATAAGAGCGGGAATCGCCTTGCTCACGCCGCCCCAGCCCCCCCAGGCTCACACCTCAAACCTGCTCTTGGTCACTCCGTTCACGTCCCTCCTCATGGGGCCGGCGGGTGCGGCCGGGGCCCGGCGCTGCGGCGTGCAGAGTTCAAAGACTGGGGGCCCGGGGCAGGCCCCGGAGTTCCGGGACCGGGAGGAGGTAGAGGAGCGACGGGCAGGGGCCGTCAGCGGGGAGGGGAAACCTCTCGGCTCCGGCGGGGCCTCCTCCACCTCCCGCAGAGCCGGCGGCAGCGACGACTGCTAGTCGCTAGCTCCTCTCTCCCCTCAGCCTCAACTTCAACCCAAAACAAAAACACTCCCCACCTGCCAGCAACGCCGCTCCTCATTGGGCAGAGCCGCCCGGGCCTCGGAACGGCGTGGGGAGGGGAGGAGGAGGAGCGCGCGGCGGCCGCGGCGGCGGCTGCTGCGGCGGCAGCGGCGCGGGACCACCCCTCCCCCACTCCCGGGCGCAGCCCGCGACGGTCCGCCCGGGAGCAGCCGGAGCGCGGCGGCGGCGGCGCGAGCCCGCTCTTGCCTCCGAGGCACGCAAGCCCACCGCGAGGAGAGGCAGGGAAGTGCCTATCTGTCTGTGTGTATTTGTGTATGGGAGGGGCTGTGGGGAGGGTGTGAGTGCGCGCGTGCTCGCGGACTCGCGAGTGAGGAAAGCAGGACAACTGCACACAGTACCGGAGCCCATCTAATCCCCTTCGCCGGCAAACAGCACGCACTCACCCAGCAAACACTTGAGGTTTCTGTCAAGCCCTCCCAGCCCCCTAGTCTTGTCGCTTCTTCCCCGGTAGCCTGTGCAGCCACACATGTCCTTCCCGGCCACCCAACTCCTTTCCCCTATCACTCACTGTCGCCTTGAACCCAAAGTGCAGCAGGCGGTCCCTGCTCGGAGCCATTTTCCTCCTCTTTCTGGTTGTCTCTAGATTGAGGCAGTGCTGCCGCCGCCGCCGCCGTCGTTGCTGTTGCTGTCGCTGCCGCCGCCTCCCCCGCCCCCGTGGATTGCATTACCGGGTGTTGCAGGGAGGCCTGGGGGGCCGCGGCAGGGCGTGGGTCTCCCTGTGCATAGATCAGGAGGACGGGGGGGGCGGTAATTGCGCTACCCTCTGCTCCAGGAATATGCAGCAAGGCCGCACCTCGCGCCTTGGGGTCAGGGGGTGCAGCGCAGGAGCTGGACGACCATTCCTTTTAGCTGGGGGAGGGGCGCGCTTTGGTGGTTGCGGGGGGGGCCGTACGAGGCTGAAGTGCCTTTGGCTTCCCCCGCCCCTCCGCCACCAGACTGCCGCTGGCGCCCAATGGGCTCTAGTGCCTGCCCGTCCTCCAATCAGGGCTCTGCTTGGTGAGAACCTGATCCTGACGCCACTTTGGCGGGAGAAACAAGCGTGTCTTCACGAGTAGGCGGGGGCGCTGGCTCAGTGGAAATTACATTCATCTGACTCCTTGGCTCCTTACATACAAGCTAGTTTGTGTCATTATATTGTTATACTTTAGCAACACCAGCCCTCAAGGTCTTGAAATTTATTATCGAATTTCCATGGACTAAGGAATAAGTTTACCCTCTTTTGGAACGACAAACTACAGAATCGTGTACCCAAGATGAAATATTAGAAACTGTATCATAAATTCCAGCAGTCCTGGCAGGATCACTGTCCCTAATCGTATTCCAAAGTAAGTATGTTTGTCTTCATACCTCTTTTAATTCGTTTTAGTGGCTGGCTTGTTACGAATCTGATTTAAGAGAGATTACTGGGGTACCTGGCTGGCTGAGTTGGTGGAGCCTACCACTCTTGATATCGGGGTTGTGGGTTCAAGCCCCGTTGGGTGTAGAGATTACTTAAAAATAAAATAGAGAGGAGCTTACTTAAGAGCAACTTGTGCTGGAGATTTTTTTTTTTTTATTAAATAGTCATATTCTGGGATGCCTGGGTGTCGCAGTCAATTAAGCATCCAACTCTTTCCCCTCAGGTCATGATCTCAAGGTGGTGAGATCCAGCCCCTGCTTGGGCTCCCAGCTGGGCGTGGAGCCTGCTTGAGAGTCTCTCTCCCTCTGGCCCTCCCCTCCCGCCAGCCCAACCCCTGCTCCTGCTCTTAAAAAAGAAAGTAAAAATAAAAACTAACGATGTAATGTATGGTGATTAACATAACAATAAAAAATTATTAAAAAAAAGAATACGTTAGAAATGTAATAAAATGGTCAAGATTTAAAAAAAATAAAAAAGAAAGTAAAAATTATAAAAACAAAACAGGCATATTTAAGCTGGAAGCTTTATTACCCAACTCTTCAAGCACTTTTTTTTATTAAACTTTCTCGTGTTTGTCCTAGAAAGGGTTTCTTAAGCAAGGAACCTAGCTTCAGAAACTCATTCTCAGGCCCACAAACCCAGGTCTAGATGTTATATTGTCTGCTACTTCTGTTATTTCACTTCAGCCATATAAACACAGCTTTTTAGTCCTATCTAATCTAAGAGCAGTCTTCTCCCAATTGTTGATGAATTTGGTGACTAAGACCTGCAAAAGATAGTAAAACTGGCTCAAGCAGATAAATCAAATGAAGCAAACTTTCACAGGTCTTTTACCAGGTTTCAGTTATCCTTTACAGTTAACCTATTTTGAGTAATACTCAGGGAAGACTTTTATTTCCTGATTGAATTTTTTCTGATTGGTGGACTTTTAAAAAGCTGAATAGGGGTTCTCCAGGTGGCCCAGTCGGTTGCACTGCTGACTCTTAATTTTGCTGATTCTTGATTGACTCAGGTCATGATCTCAGGGTTGAGCCACCCCTCCAGGTCCCGCTCAGCAGGGAGTTGGCTTGTCCCTCTCTGCCCCTCCCCCACTCCCCCCTAAAAATAAAATCTTTTAAAAAAGCTGAATAAGTGAAAATTGCTCAAAGGTTAAAAATTTACTACACAAAGGCATAATACTTTTTATCAAAGAAATTTATTTGCATGTAAATAAACAGGTTCTTTTGTAATGTTTTGGGGGGAAAAATCCCAGATTTTGTCTACTTTCAAAAAAATGAAAAAACCCCAAAGTATTTACAGAACGGCCATACGCACAGAAAATCAAATTTGAAAGATTTTTTTAGAAAAGACCCTCCCCAACTGCTCCTGATGTACATTTCTAAAACACAAAATTTATAAAGCTCAGCTTTTACAGCTAAGCATGTTTCCCAACCTAGCTTCCGAGATGTTAGGTACTTCCTACCCCTCAAAAAACTAACTCAAGGGTAGAAATAGAGGGGTAGAGGGATTGAAAAGGGAAAAAAGGGAGGGGGGAGAAAATGAGATTGCCCAGGGATTGTGAAAGTTTCCTATACTGTCATCTGCTTTAAGTGACTTGACTGGATACTGTATGACTCACTGGCTCCCTTGAAAGGGTTGCTTCTGAGAATTCATGCTATTGTTGCACTAAATTTTCAGACCTAGGCCTTAAGGAAAATCTTTCCAAGAGTCACTAACCTCAAGGCCAGTTTTTGGCAATTATATCCTGCTTCATTTCTCCCCCATTTATAAAATACCTGTTTTAAAACACATGGATTTTGAACCTGAAATCTTCATGTACATCAGAGCAGGTTTTGACCAAGAACCCCTAACATGAAGCCAAAAGACAGAAGAGGAATCAGGTCAAACTAAGAATACATAAGACACCAGCAGCAGAAGACAGGTAGAAGTTGACTTCATGTCCTTGCAGTCTTTTGAAACAGGAGAATGAGGACACCTAGACAGGAGGGAGGTGTCCCAGGCTTGGTTTATTCTGCCTCTTCTCCTCCACCCTGTGGAGAAATGCAGTGCTCCCTGGTTCTCAGGCAGGGTGAAGCAGGTTAGCCCCGGCTCCCTGTTAAGCAAGTTCAGATGCTGGGTCAGTGTGTGGGGTGTGCCCATCGACAATTCAGGGGCTTATCCTTCATCCAGATCCTAACTCGGGATTCTTTGATCTGGGATGAAGACAGAAAGAGAGAAAAAGCTTCCCAGTTTACTCATTTTGGAATCTGTTGGCTCTGCTTGGGGAAGCTGAGCCCCTGATATGTAGTACATTCCCCATAAGATTTTCCCCACCCAGAACAAACTTAAAAACCACGTAACATTTTTTTTTTTCTCTGCAGAAACCAATGGGATAGGATTCAAAACTAGGTGAGAAACTTTTGAGAAATCCAACCTGGTTATATGTCTGAGAGGCTGCTACTGTATCAGCATCACAAGATAAAGCACTCTGGTATCACCTTGCCCATGTCCTCCTTAGTGTCACCCAAGACATTTGACTCTGATACGGTAACCGATAACTTTTCTTGCTCCACTTTGCAATGTTTCGTTTCCTACTTCTTATTACCTTGGGACACAAAAGTGGCAGAGTTGTTGAGAGCTGATGACCAGAAAAGGGAGAACACTAGAGGAAATCAGAGACAGTCAGGAAAGAACGCCAAAGCTGATTTTCCAACTCTATGCTAACTCCAACCTGCAGAAAGAGCTGAATATAGAAATCTTCTTCAATATCTGATGAAGTCACTTCCATTTATCACACACACACACAAATGAATCACCTGGCTTTTTTTTTTTTTTTTTTTAATCCAGAAGAGTTGTGCTGGGGACTGTGCCCCGTCCTGCTGATACAGATCCTGAATGGAATCATCAGGAATGGCACAGTGCAGGTGTCAAAATCAAAGTAAGGCCGCAGAATTTTGAGAGGACCCTCCAAATACTGAGAACTTGTGTTGCACTCAAATGGTCTCCTGGATTTCTATATTTATGAGAAGGGCTTCTTATTGATGTCCCCCAGAATCCAGACTCAGACCTATTCCTCCAAAAAAGGTCCAATTGGGTTGCTACATAGTAGCAAGGGTTTATCTTCATGCCCACCTAGCATTCCAGGCCCCCATTACTTCAAGTGAGCTTGAAATTGTTTTAAGTGAACTATGGCTGCAAATTTTTTACTGTTTTATCTAAGGGAGCATACAGTGGAGCGATTGAAGTCTGGACTCCTTCTCCATGTGATGCAGAGAAACAAGGAGCCCAGCTCTCAGGAATGGCATCAGTTCTCCTACAAACAAAATGCTGGGATGTGGACTTTTGGCACATTGTGGAAATAGGAGAACTATTAATTCTGTAATGGTTTTCATGCCACTGGGTCAGGGAGGCTGTACATTAAAATTTACTGCATCTGAAAACATGTTTACATCCCAAAAAGCCAGCCCAGCCTTTATTAAAGGACAAAGAGACTATAAATCAGTACCTCCACAGGGAGGTAACTCCTAATATTCCTATGATGTCTGAACCCTATGATAAACCTCCTAAAACAAAAATACCATTTTGGTTTTTCTACTTAACTCCAAAGGTGGACTCTGACTAATCTGCTTGGGCTTAATGCTACAGTACCAGCACAAGCTACAGGCTCCCTACCACCAAATAAGCCTTGCTCTTCCACCTCCCATCACTCTGAACCCTGAACCTTATAGAATTAGAAACACTGTGTAAAGACAAACAGATAAAGGGTTAAAATATTACAAATAAATAGCTAAAATTATCTTCCCTCCCCCAATCACTCCTAAGAAACAGACACCAAACATTACTTGTGTCCAAAATGACCAAAGTCCTTCATTTGTCCATGCCTCAAATGGACAACTATCCAAACAAAGTGAACAACCTTCATGCAAATGCATCAAGGAATGTATTGCTTTTTCATTTGCTGCCCAGCCCTTCAAATACATGCACTAAAATGAGTTAAAACATGGCCTAAAAATGGAAAAAGGGAGAAAAAAATATATATGAATATTTCCCACAAAACTGTTTCCCACCCTTCCCTCTCCCTATGCCCCACCCACCCCCTCCCTTTCATAAGCAAGTATTTTAACTTTTTTTTTTTCTCTTTTTTTCTCTGGCAAAGGAAAAAGTGATTCTTGGTAACCAGAATCAAACCCTATGGTCTCTTTAGTAGGGTCTGGCTATGCCTTTCTAAATTCACCCAGCTCGGTGTCAAAGCCATGCCATTTAAGATTCTTGAACACAAAATCAGACCTGACTCACCCCTTATGGTGGTTTGCCTATAAACTTATTAGTTTTTCTCTGGCCATTTTTGTCTTAAAAAGTAAGGTTCCTAATTGCCAATCAGGGCCACATCCATAAGATCGTCATCTTCCTCCCCAATCATAAAGTCAGGGCTGAGCCTTGAGGGCCTGTCTGTAGATAAAATT